AATGACAGGATGCTTAAGGTCGAGCTCGCATTCGGTGAAACATGCATTGAGTGTGGTATGCGACAGCGGTCTTAAGCATCCTGTCATTTATGATAATGAACCTAATATGTGACGTCGAAAGAGGCTAGAAACTGTGTGCTCGATAGCTAATTAGAGCTGCAAGAATCACATAAAGATCTCTAACCAATGGCAGCCTTTATTAGCAAAGACACCGGGGGACCGTATGAGACGTTAGTTCAACAGCAAAACGAAAGTTGATTATGTGTTTTGCGATAGTTTTAGTTTAGAATACTATAATGGAATATTTTTTCCGCTTGTATGCTGACAGAATCAAGTTTGTACCAAAACATAACATACAATTTGAGACAGAGAAAAAAGAAAGACTAACGAAATTATCTTGACATGAACATCAAACTATAGTAGCAAAATTTTTATACATGTTTCACTTTGATACTTTCTTTTCATTTTAGATGTAATTCATATTTTCAGAACATTTTAATTTTCCGTAATTCTTTAATTTTCTGTGGATTTCTTTTGTGTACTGACGTCTACCTTATTCAGGCAGGTTATTCAGGTTTTACGAGTTGAAACGTCTATGTTATTAATTAGTTGTATAGAATACAATACACATAATAAAAGCACTGAAATCCACTCGTTTATCTACACTTCTATACAGAATAGGAATGAACCTAAGACAAAAACTTTTATGCCGTTAAAGAAAGCACATATCGAATTATATTCTCTCCTCTTTGAATCTGGAAAAAATAGGCTTTCGATTTTTGGTCAAATGTCCGTCTAGATGCACATTGTAGCTGGGAAACAAATATTTCTCAAACACTATGATACGATGTTTCCATTTATTGGCTTTTTTTGTAATTTTTAGTTGCTCCATTTTGAATACTTTCATTTGTTTACCAACCGTTACGATTATTATGTAAATATGTTACCGTTTGCTTGTCGTCTTGTTGTTGGACGTCAAATATGGTAAATCAAAATGTTTATAACACGACACGTAGTAATACATTACGTCTAGATGTTGATTTCTTAGTATAGTTCCATGCTAGTTTTCCTACTCGATTTAAAGTAAAATAGTTTAAAATCAACCAGACAATTCTGCCACAAGAAAAACAAGAAGTACTATAAAAAATTCATTTGTGTAGCTTTTGCTCACTTCCTATTTTTTTGCGTTATTTTTATTACAAAAGATTTGTTTATCGTTTCTTTGGATATATCTTTTACAACTTCGGACTACAAAAATGAAAAATAAAAAGAACTCACGTACGATATAGACAGACTATATGTTTAAAAATACAAAAATCCACACTACTCGATATGATTAACAAAGAAAAATATAAAGAAATAAGTCAAACAAGAAGCTATCAATACAATAAAAATAACACATCGGAACAGGAAGGTTAATTGGCTGAGTATGCCCCGATTCGAAAATAATAGTTGCTTGATTTTTAAAAGAAGAAAAATTACTCTTAATTTATGAGAATACGTGTAATACAATGAACACTTTATACAAAAAAAATGAACGCGTGAAAAAATGGGACAAGAGATGGTTGAATGAATGATAAAAGTCAGGATGTTACCAAAGATGAGTTTCACGTACTTCACTTATTATTTGATTTGCCTTGTGTAATGCCTAAAACGGAAAAGAGCGAGTAATATTTTCAAATGGCTAACTATAATTATTCTAGAAGTCAACAAAAGAGGATAGAAAAAATTATTTTGAAAATATAGTCCTAAATGTATGACATCATTCTTTTACCGATCTATAAAAGGAAAAGTTGTCTTCTCTGTTTGCATTTAGAACTTCATACTTTTTGCGCATTTATTGATTATCAATACGAATTCAAATACTTACTTCAAGCATTTCTTGTGCATCTTTCCGTCTTGCTGCGATATGTCCAGATTCATCTAATAATTCTTGGTCTGCAACAGTTTTGTATAACGCTGCAACTAATTCAGATTGTAAATTATCTTTGACAAAATTTACCAAAAAATGCATGATGGCTTTTGGTATACTATCTTGAATATTTTTTCTCACAATTAAAAAATACGAACGTATCAAACGCTCTAAAAGCATAGCAAATGTTATTAGAAATAGAAGAAAATATGAAAATCATTTTTACCAATAACTTCACAATCACGTTGTTCTCGTGGTGATAATTTTCTAGGATTAATCGTTGTCTACGAAAAAACATAAATTTCGCATAAACTAAAACAAAATATTTCTACTCTTACTCCTTCGCCTGCTGGTGACATTGTTGTGATTGTTGAAGAAGGTATCTTAGATGTGACAGCAGCATTCGATGTGTAAGGAGACGATGTGGAGCCGTTTGGTTCTTGAATACCGTTTACTTCTCCATCTATAATATGATTTAATATTGTTCGACTCAATTTTGTTTCATCAATACTCTAAAAACAAAATATAATAAATATCATAAAATCAAAAATTTTATTTAAACATACTCGATTTTCTTTTTCTCTAGGTGTTTCTCTTGATCGTTGTATTTGTTGTTCTTTTTGTTGTTGTAATTGCTGAACTTCTGTTCGATAATCGCCACCTGTCAATGCTTTATGAATAAGACCAGCTTCGTGAAAATCTGGATGTTTTGTATTTATATAAGCTAATTCAATAGCGACAAGATTTTCAACCATTTTATTTGTTTCTGGTAAACGTCTTCGAAGTAAATGTGTTACAACATCGACTATTTTTTCATGTAATTTTGGAAAACGTATAAATTCTTGCTAAAAAAGAGAAATTATTTAGTTTTAAGATAAAGTCAAAAAATATTTCGAAAGAAAATAAAAAGAATATGTTGTGTTTTTTGTAAAACATTTCAAAATAAATGTATGTGTAATTTAAATCAATACCTGAGCTCCACAATGTTGAATAATACGTTGTAATTCTTCATGCACAAGTTCGACACATCGTTGACTAGGATCTTCCAAACGTTTAATTTGTCGTTTTACTAATAATTCAAAACTAGAAAAAATAGAAACATAAAATAATACACTTAAAAATTCGTGCTAAGCTTGCCTAATCTCTGGTACAAATAATGCTGGTCTAGGTCCCTGAGAAAGTAAATAAAAAAAAGGTGTATAATTGAAGTTCAATGTATATTATATTCTTACTGTGGCATTTCTAATCGCTGTCAATATATCAAATGTAGTTAACGTGTCTAAAGGATTCAATGAATCTAATGCTCGTGCAAATGTTTCGTGAAATATATAACAGATTCTTGCTCCTCCACACCTAAATAAATAATTGATTATATTCATTAAAAAAAAATTATTTACTTACAGTTCAGCAACTTCAATATTTCTTGATGTTCCTTCGATCGTTGCACAATAAGATGAAGCAAATTTAGTGATAATTTGAAGTAATAATCTACCCTAAATGATAAAAATGAACTGGTTTATTCAATAGACGTCTTAAACAATATTTTTACAGTTACCTTATCTTCGATAGGTTCACCAAATGAACTGACTAATGTGTGAAATTGTGATACCATCACATTTATACGCGTTTTTAATGCTGGTAGACATTCACGAATATGATGCATCAATAGCTAAGCAAAGGAAATATTTCGATATACCTGAATATGAAAAGAAAGATAGCTTACTCTATTCAATGTTTTTGCAAGAAATGGTGTTCCATTTCTACTTGCTATAGAAGGATAATTTTTTTGTAAAAATGCTGCCTCATAGCGTAAAGCTTCTTCAATTGGCTACAAAAAGAACAAAAATAGTTATGAAGAGAAATGATAAATTAAAACATGCTTACTTTTTTTTTGTGAATATCCTCTTGACTGCGATTGACAACGCCAATAATTCCTAATTTAACGGGTACAATTCGTCCACAAAGAACATCATAGGCATCTGTTCCACGATCCATAAGATCCAGTTTTGTCAAAACAGCTAGTGTACGCCTACCTAAAGTAGAAAGAAATAATATTATGTTATTTTACTTTAAAAAAGACTTTTAATACCTTCCGGATCTATTTCTTTTGCAAATTTGACAGCTTCCGATGTTGAAAAATCGACATTTGCCGGTGTTATTGCAAGGATGATACAGTTTGGATTTGTTATGTAATGCATAATTAGATCTCGTACTTGTTGTTCAATATCAACTGGCTGATCTTCGACTGGTATCTAAATAAAGCATTTAAAAATCGAATATAATAATTTCTTATAGTGTATTTAACTTACCTTTGTCAGTCCTGGTAAATCAATAAGTGTTAGTGTTACAACTTTTGGTGAATATATTTTCAATGTGATTGGTTCATGTGAGATATTCTTAAAAACACAATAGAACTAAATGCTTTTAAATAATATAAATTAATAATTTTTTTTTATACCTTTTTCCCTCCAATACGATCTGTTTCAGCTTCTATTTCTTGTCTTACTTCGTTAAAATCTGTATAAACTTTTCCTTTAATATGTGTAAATACTGCAAATTCATCTTCTTTAGGCACTGGTACTCCTAAATGATTACATTGCATTTCTTTGTCTTCTGGTAGAGTGTATACTAATTGTAATGTCAATGGTCTCCGGGTAACTATTCCAGCACCGCGTGGAAGAAAATCTTGACCAACAAGATTTTCGAGAACGGAACTTTTACCGGCACTCTATTTAAATAAAGAAAAAATTAGTCTATCTTCAAGCATCACAGCATCATAAAAAAGTATACTTGAGAGCCAACAACCACAATTTGTGGAAGTTGAATGGACTCAGATCCCACAGTATTAAAAACATCTTGTAGTTTATTTAGAACCGGTATTAAAGCATCCATTTGGCCTTTTATCTAGAAAGCACGAAACCATGTAACTCCGATGTACGTTTTGCTGTTTAACAATATCTTATTTTTATCAGTTTGTGATTGTTAAAGATAATGATGCAATCTAATGCCAATTTTTTTCCATTCATATAGAGGAAACATGTGTACTGGCTTCTATCCTAATAATTGTTGAAGAGAGCCGCTATCGCATTAAGGAACAATACGTTCTGATTTGTCAGAGTATGAAAACATCCATTGGCCATCAATGAGCAATGCGAATCCTAGAAATGTTGCTGTCAAAAACCGTTTTTCTCTGCAATTTACGTTCAAAATTGCAGCTTTATCAACTTTTTCGCTGAGACCAACTATAAAAATATGTATCTTATCATAATCTTGAACACCACATTCATGCTAGCTTAATATTCGTTTTCTAGTTTTCTTTTCCTTAAAACGGTTCGCTTATCCAAATGACAGGCTTGTAATTCACATCTGATTTTAACGGTTAGCGGGAAGAGCATAGTATGTTGAAAGAAGCTACCTACAACGATAGTATAGGATGTCGCGCAAAGGGCATTTCACACCTTTGGGCTAATGGCAGTTTGTCGAAGCTAATCAAAAGCTGTACAAAAATCACTACGCGGACGCAAGCGTTTATTGATTCAAAAGAGAAAGTTTTGCGATTTTGTCCTCTTATTTATTTTATGCTTTCACTATTTGAACGTTCATATACATTAATGCCGGGAATCCATTAGATTGTAAACACCTTGTGTGTGTCTGCTGCTATGCAACATGTCGACATCTCTAGGAGACAGAACAGAGTTCAATCGACCATCCTAGATTTTTTTGTCTATAGGAGACAAGGTTACGCTCGTTTGCACTCGCTCGGTCCGTTGACTATATATATCTGCGAACCACCTTTCATGACTTTGAATCCAAGATACAGCTCACACCCCCCTTCGGTCGGGGTTCGCGACCTTACAGAATTCTAAAAGTACCCCTGAACTGAAGTGAATGCTCACGCCTTCCTTCGGTCGGCGTTCGCACCTATAATGTTTTTAATGACTGGTGGAATAAACGAGAGCAAAAGGGGTTTTCAGAAAAGTATATCCCACTTTGTTTTTCAGTTTGCTTTTGACAAATTTCCACTTTATCTTTTTTTCATATTTTCTACCTTACAAAATTAATCCATCGATCTCTGCTTGTTGAACACTTGTGAGCGAGAGAACCAGTATAATTTCTGTTTAATCATCTAATTTTCATCATAATAAGACATCGCTAGTGTCTGAAGATTAACATCAATATGACATTAGTCAAAAAGGATTTGTGACTTCTATCCAAACGTATAAAAGTTTTGCAGCGTTTGTTTTACTTCAGAAGTGTTCACCTTCCAGCGATTGTTTTAGTGACATTTTGTTTCAGATGAGTCATCTAAGGCGTTTGTTGTTAAATTTGTAATTGATCAGGGTACGAAGTTAATTTCGGACCATTTAACTGAAAGTGATAAAACGAAACCCCTGTGACGATAAAAAAAATCTCTTTTAGCCGGTGTTAGGCAAAAAATTTCAACTGTCCCTATTTTGTCCACTTTACATTTCATATCAAAGTGGAAAATCCCACTTTGACCCTAACAGTAAAGTAAATCAGCATCGAAATAATTCAAATATTTTACACAAATCAACATTCGAGTTGCCGTACATTCATTAAAAATTTCGAGTCGTAATATGCTATAATTTCCGAGATCTAAAATACTTTTTGAAGACGTTACTTTTGACGGCTACTGTTTTACGGAAGCCGTCAAAATAAGTTTACGTGTAGATATAGATCAATATCATTCTTTCTCTGGTTTTGCTGAATGAAATAAATCGGATACATTCTTATGTACAAAATACAACAAATTTTCATTTTTAATTACCAGTTACATAATCTAACGTAAGTAAAGCTGAACCGTATTTTTTCTATTTATAAATATCAGTTACACATATTTATGTACCAGAGCTCCGTATGGACTGGACTGAGTCCATCGTCCAGATTTTGTGGATTTCATGGGCTCGGACTGAACTGAACTGGACTCAAACTTTCAAGACCATGGACTGGTCTGGACTCGGAAAAATTTCGATGGACTTGAATCGAGGAAAAATCGGTAAACGACAAGTTCTTTTTGTTTTGTTAAAGACGATTCTAGAATACTAATAGAGAAGAAAAAGAAATAACAGAATAAAAGTAAATTCTAAAAATGGTTCAAGAAGAATTAGAGATACACCCAGAAGGATGTATCAATCAAAGAACTAAAATAAAAATGAAATAACCCATATCTCTCATTTTCTACTCCTTTTTAAAATTTATTTTTATTCTGTTATTTCTTTTCCTTGTCTGTTAGTATCATCGTGTGTTTCTTTTACTTTAACTACCGTCAGACGGACTACTTCACATGTTTCGTTTATATTTACAAGTTTCGTGTATAAATAACATCTCTCTTTATAGTCCTCTGTTTGTGCTCTGCATTTTTCTGATGATGAATTGGACTGGTCGAAAGCTTAAAAACGAAGATGAAAAGTAAATATTAAAAATACACGATATAAAAGATGACCCAGAAGTCCTGTCTCAATATTTCGGTCAAATTCCTCATTCAATTCTCTACACAAAATATCTTGAACATTTCTTTATATACTATAAGAATAAACAAATACAGAGGAAAGACGAAAAAGTTCCAATATCGATTACTTTCGAACCTAAAGCGCAACCAAAAAATATTTATTTTGAACACGGTACTACGCATCAAATTGGAATCGAAATGTATTTTCTGGTGCTCCAGAATATCAACTTTCTTTTCTTGTATCATAAATTCGTTACAAACCTTTCTTCCTGTCCCATGTAAATATTTTTCAATCCCAGACGCGTCTGAAAACGCGTTTTTTGCTGCGTTTAATCGCTCCGGAAATGCACCATTTGCTAGCGTTTAAACGCGTTTTCCCTGGACGCGTCTAAACGCGTTTTT